AGATCAGGGGTGAAACAAGGATGTCCAATATCACCATTATTCAATATTGCACTAGAAATGTTAGCTTTAGTGACAAGAGAAGAAAACAAATTGAAGGAATTCGAATAGGCAATGAGGAAACAAAATTATCACTCTTTGCAAATGATATGATGGTATACTTAAAGAATTCTAGAGAATCAGCTAAAAAATTCCTTGAAATAATTATCAACTTTAGCAAAGTTGCAGGATATAAAATAAAATCACATAAATCATCAGCATTTCTACATTTTATCAACAAAACCTGTCAACGAGAGAAAGTCCATTTAAAATAATTATAGACAATACAAAATACTTGGGAGTCTACCTGCCAAGACAAACCCAGGAACTATATGAACACTATTATGAAACAACACACAAATAATGTCATATCTAAACAATTGGAAAAATATCAATTGTTCCTGGGTAGACCACTAATATTACAACAATGACAATTCTACCTAAATTAATTTACTTATTCAGTGCTATACTAATCAAACTACCAAAAATTATTTGATAGAGCCAGGAAAAATCATAACAAAAATAATATGGAAGAACAAAAGATCAAGAATATCAAGAGAATTAATGAAAAAATGCAAAGGAATGCGGTCTTGCTACACCAGATTTAAAACTATATTATAAAGCAGCAGTCATCAAAACTATCTGATACTGGCTAAGAAACAGAGTGGTGGATCAGTGGATTAGATTATGTACATACGACACAGTAGTAAATGACTATAATAATCTACTGTTTGATAAAACCAAAAAGCTCAGCTTCTAAGATAAGAACTCACCATTTGACAAAAACTGCTGGGAAAACTGGAAAATACTATGGCAGAATCGAGGTACAGAACAACATCTTATACTCTATACTAAGATAAAGTCAAAATGGGTACATGAAATAGATATAAACGGTGATACTGTAAGTAAATTAGGAAAGCAAGGAATAGTTTACCTGTCAGGTATATGAAAAAAATAAGAATTTATAACCAAACAAGATAAAAAGAACATAACAAGATATAAAATGGATAATTTTTATTATATTAAATTAAAAAGGTTTTGTACAAATAAAACCAAAGCAACTAAGATTAGAAGGAAAGCAGAAAGCTGGGAAACAATTTTTACAACAAGTCTTTATAATAAAGGTCTCATTTCTAAAATATATTGAGGGGCAGCCAGGTGGCACAGTGGACAGAGCACCGGCCCTGGGTTCAGAAGGACCTGAGTTCCAATCCGGCCTCAGACACATAACACTTATTAGCTGTGTGACCCAGGATAAGTCACTTAACCCCATTGCCTAGTCAAAACAAAATAAAACAAAACAAAAAAATATATATATTGAGAACTCATTCAAAATTATAAGAATACAAGTCATTCTCTAATTGATAAATGGTGAAAGGATATGAATAGGCGGTTTTCAGATGAAGAAATGAAAACTATAGGTATATGGGGAAAAAATGTGCTAAATCACTATTGGTTAGAGAAATGCAAATTAAAACAACTCTGAGGTACCACCTCACACCTATCAGGATTGGCTAATATGATAGGAAAGGAAAATGAAAAATGTTAGAGAAGATTGGGGCACTAATGCACTGTTGGTAGAGCTATGAACAGATATAACCATTCTAGAGAACAACCTGGAACTATGCCTAAAGGGCAATCAAACTGTGCATACCCTTGGATCTAGCTATACCACTACTAGGTCTATATCCTAAAGAGATCATAAAAAAGGGGAAAGGACCTACATGTATGAAAATATTTATATCAGCTCTTTTTGTAGTGGCAAAGGACTGGAAATTGAGGGGATGTCCACCAATTGGGGAAAGACTGAACAAGTTGCAGTATATGAATGTAATGGAAATACTATTGTGCTACAAGAAATGACAAGCAGGAAAATTTCAGAAAAACCTAGAAAGACTTACAGGAATTGATGCACAGTAAAGTAGGAAGAAGCAGAACATTGTACACAGTAACAACAACATTGTACGATGATCAACCATGACTTAGCTCTTCTCAGCAATACAATGATCCAAGACAATTCCAAAACACTCAGGATGTAAAATGCTATCCAAATCCAGAGAAAGAAATGATGGAATCCGAATGCAAATTGAAGCATATTGTTTTCACTTTTTTTCCCCACAATTTTTTCCTTTTGTTCTGTTTCTTCTTTCACAACATGACTAATATGGAAATATGTTTTACATGATTATACAAATAAAACCTATATTGAACTGCTTACTGTCTTAGGAAAGAGGGAGGGAAGAGAGGGAGAAAATTTGAAATTTAAAATCTTATTTAAAAATAGGAATGTTAAAAATTATCTTTATATCTAATTGGAAAAAAATGCTATTTATTTTTTTTATTTTTAAAAATTTATTTATTTTTAGTTTTCAACATTCACTTCCATAAGTTTTTAAGTTTTAAATTTTCTCCTCCTCCTTCCCATTCCCCCTTCAAAATGGTGTGCAATCTGATATAAACTCTACATATACATTCACATTAAATATATTTTCACATTAGTTATGTTGTAAAGAAGCATTAGAATCAATGGGAGGAACCACAAGAAAGAAGAAACAAAACAAAACAAAACAAAGAAAGAAAGAGAGAGAAAGAGCAAATAGTATGCTTCAGTCTGCATTGAGACTCCATCGTTCTTTCTCTGGATATGGACAGCATTTTACATCATAAGTCTTTTACAGTTGTCTTAGATCTTTACATTGCTGAGAAGAACGAAATCCATGAAAGTTAGTCATCACATAATATGGCTGTTACTGTGTATAATATTCTCCTGTTTCTGATCACTTCACTCAGCATCAGTTCATTTAAGTCTTTCCAGATTTTTCTGAAATCCTCCTGCTCATCATTTCTTATAGCACAGTAGGACATCCAGGTAAAGAATTGATGGACTCTAAATGCAGATCAAAGCATACTTTTTTCACTTATCTTATTCCTTTTTGTGTTTTTTTTTTCCTTTTGATCTTTTTCTTCTTTTACAACTGTGATTAACATGGAAATATATACATGATAGCACATGTAGAACCCATATTAAAATCCATACCATTTTAGGAAATGGGGAGGGAAGGGAAGGAGAAAAATTTGGAACTCAAAATCTTGTAAAAATGAATGCTAAAAATTGTCTTGACACGTAATTGAGAAAAAATAAAATACTATTTTAAAAAGTCACAAAAGCAAAAAGCAAATTAAAAATTAAATAAAGTGAATCTGCTACAACTTCATTACTAAAAAAAAAGAAAAAGAAAAAAGAAAATAAGAAATGCATGAAAGAGGACAACATCTGCTTAAAGAAATTCACAATTCTAGACTGCAGGCTTCAGTGTTATTGGTCCACTCAGGAACATGTTTGCCACATAAATTTGGTTCTCCACTCACTGCTTGACTGTTGAGCTTCAGTATTCTTCAGCTATGGAAATCCTCTTCTCTACTCAAACATAATCTTTCTAAGATCTTTCAATTAACTATCACCCTTAACTATCCAAGGGTGTTTAGAAAGCATTAGTCTTAACATGTTATCTATTCTTTTCAATCTAGAGAAATGCAAAGCTCATAAGACTGACTATAGACCAGATTATGCTGAGCTTTTCGATCAGAATGGAGTTCAAAGTGACACATTCAGTTTCACTCCTGAAGGATACAGTTGCATAATTCTCTCTACTTTTCCTTCTTAAGCCAGAGGGGACAACAGAGAACAGTAAACACATGAAAAGTTTCACATTTGCCCAACTTCAATGGTCACTGAAGGTCAACAGATATTGCTGGAACTTTTGGCCAGTTCTTTCTCCAACCAATAAGGATTCAATCAGCCGAAGCCTTCTCTCAGTTGACTGCTTTTAACTGCCACAAACTAAGCCCCTTTGTAATATCATTAATTCATCTCAGGTTCTTTTTCCCCTTGATTCTTCCTTATGTGATGCCTCTTACCTTTCTGTCATTATCATGTTCAATGGATTAAGTAACAGCCTCTTGGCTCTCAGTGACTCATCTTTCACGTAAAAGTCACACCTCCCCAAATTTCTCCTATCAAATTGACAATAATTCATAAATCATACCTCAGTCTACAAATATTTATTTGATTTCTAATTTTCTTAGTTTTACCCTATTTAGTATTAAACCACACAAATGCTATTTGTAGCACAAAAACAATCAGCATCTTAAGACTAGAAAATTATCTTGCCCACCTACCCTTAAGAACAAAGACTATTATCCTATTTTCTCAACTTTACAAGAAAGCATTTTCTAGAAACATCCTTAAAAAGTATTTTCAGTATTTGGCAAATGTCTAAGTTCTTTATTTTTAACTAACCTAAAATCTTAATGGCACTAAAGTCTATTTCTTTCAATTCCATCCTTAGAAAATAATGAGAAATACAAGAGGAAAGGATATTAGGAGGGGAAAGAGGCTCTTGTTTCATTGTACAATGAAATAAATGTGGAAAGTAAAAAAATAACTCATCTTTACTTGGTGCATCTACTGCTGTAGTGACTAGATTAGTGATCTGATAATTGTGGAAAACAACCACTAGTGTTAAGTGGCCTACTTAAAAATGACCCATTTAAAACAAAGATAATTCTATAGTGAATATAAAGGGGAAGAAAAAAGAGTGCCAGTTCTAAACATCTACAGTCAGGCAGAATACTGAGCTGCATATAAACTAGGAGACTTTCATGTAAACTCCACACTTCTAAAAACCAGTCATGACTGGGACATATTAATCAAGCTCTTTGGGTCTTAGGCTTCCAGCCATCAAATAGGACTAGAATAGTAACTACCAATTACTCCTAATCTATGTAAGAGGGGAATCTAGCTCCATAGGGAGGGAAAGTGCTAATTATGAAGAAAAGATTACCTTTATTTAAAAAGACTCACTTGAAAACTTTACTCTCAAAAACTTTGTATAATTACTTATGCAAATAAAAGAATTTCCAAAAGAACAATGATCACAGTAGTAAAAGGACAAATGACTTACCCCATGTTTCCTTCCATGAGGAGAATCATATTATATATATGGGAAAATATGAAGAGGAAGAGAATGGTGCTGAAAAACATTGTCATCCAAGAACCATGATCCTCTCGAAACATTTTCAAACGAAGCAACTGACCTAAAATATAAATATTATTTTAAAAAGTTACCTTACAAAAAAAGTATCTTGAAAATACACATACTTGCTTTGCTGGAAGATAAACTAGACCCTCACTATCTTATGAAGTCTTACAAAGACTCTTATTCATGAAACAACCTTATACTGCTATCAATCAGTTCCTTCAATTGCTTAAATAAACAAACTCATTTGGAAGGAATCTAAGACAAATTAGCTTTGGAGAACATTTCATCCCATAGATAATCACGCTATAGTGATGGTCTGACCTACAATTGGTGTCTAACATTTGGTGTCTCCATTGATAAATCCAATGTCCTTTTATCAATCTTCATGTTTCTAAACCTCCTAGCATTTGACATTCTTGATCACTTTCTCTCACTAGATACTTTCTTTTTTAGTTTTCAATCTCTCCTAGTTCTCCTAGCTATCTAACCACTCCCTCTCAGTCTCCTTTGCTGAGTTTTCAGACAGGCCATGCTCACTAATTATGAGTAACTCACAAGGCTTTATTCTGAATCTTCTCTTTTTATTTTATACTGTCTCACTTAGTGATATCATAAGCTCCCATAGATTAAATTATCATCTCTATGCATATAATTCCCACATCTATATTTCAAGCCCTAGTCAATCTCCTAAACTACATGTATCAAAAATTACCTTCTGGATATTTTGAATTGAATGTCCTATAGGTATGTCAAGCACAATTCTTTTGCTTGTCCAAAAAAGAACTCATTATATTTGTTATGTGTCAGGTACACACTAAGTGCTTAATAAATGATTAACTATTGACTGACTATTGAATTGTGTCCAGAGAAGGGCAACCAAGAGCAGTGGCAGGTGGGAAGATGGCCACCAGAGGAGCCTAGGACCCAGAGAAGCCTATATCCCCCATAAACACTCTAGCAGGGCTTTAGTAATGCATTGCTCTGAAAAGAAATAAAAAGAATCAGTTTTTGACTTTTCCATCCAATTCAGAAATTCATAGAGGGACTCCTAGAATCCTGCAAAGACCCTGGAATATGTAAGCCATGGTAGGTCCAAGGCAGAGCCTAGAAGGCAGAACCCAGACAGCCCCTGGAAGTTTGGAGCAAGAACAGGGCTCCCTGAAACCCGTAGCACTTTGGCCTAGATCATACCTTCCTCAAAGCCTGTATAGATACAGAACCCCAATCAAATAAAGTAGTCTTAAGCCATTCCAAGTAGATACAATGAGACACTAAAGGCCTGAGATCAGCTACAAGAGAAAGACCCTGGGCAAAATCCAGCCCATATAGTCTCTCAATCCTGTGTTGGAAACACAGCATGTGATTACCCCAGAGTTCAGAAACAAAGAGGAAGAACCCCAGATAGAGCCTAAAACAGGGAGAGGTTTCAGAGCCCTGTGGCAAGAAGGGGACCTAACAGGGGACAATTCAAAACTCAACAGGTTTTTCTCATGTCATGCAGTTGCCTGACCCAAATAAATGCTGATGAGATAAGCAAACCAAGAAAAACTGTGAATACCATGAGAAAACACCTCAGTTTAAGGGATGTCTGGGAGGTAAACACAAGTCCATGTAAAACTATAGAGGGGAAAAAAATGTCCTGCAGAAGTATCTAGAAGAAATTAAATAAGAGATACAGAATGGAAAATCTAAGGATGAAAGAATGGCAAGGAAAACTGATATTTTAAAAGAGACAGTAGAAAGCCTCAACCAATAACTGAAACCTTTTAAAATTTAAAGAACGGGTCAGACAATGTGACTCAGTATGACAACAAGAAATATTTTAAAGCAAATAAAAAGACTCAAAACAAAAATACACAAGGACATCCAAGGAATAAGGAGAGATAATCTAAGAATGATATGATTATCTGAAAATCACAATCATAAAAAAAGTCTAGATACCATATTTCAAGAAATTATCAATGAAAACTGTCCAGAACTCTTATAAACAGGAAGCAAAATAAAAATAGAAAGAATTCACAAAAGAAATCCCAAAATTAAAACTGCCAGGAACATTATAGATAAACACCAAAGTTTACAGGGCAATGAAAAAATATTATAAGCAAACAAAATGGTATTCAAGTACTCTGTTTTGGTTTTTAACATCTCATGCAGCCTTTAGCTTCTATATGCCCAATTCAAATTTTTAAGGAATTATTTTCTTCAGTAAGCTTTTGCATCTTTTTCCATTAGGCCAATTCTGTTTTTTAAGTAATTATATTCATTTGTGAATTTCTGCGCCTTTTTTCCATTTGGCCAGTTCTGTTTTTTAAGATGTTATTTTCTTCAGTATTTTTGTGCCTCTTTTTACCAAGCTGTTACTTGTTTTTTTTTCATAATTTTCTTCCTTTGTTTTCATTTCTTTGTCAATTTTTCCTCTACCATTCTTATTTGATTTTGAAAATTACTTTTTAGCTCTTCCAGAAATTCTTGTTGGGCATGGGTCCAATTCACATTTTTTTCTTTGAGGCTTTGCTTCTTGCTGTTTTGACTTCATTGTCTTCTGAGTTTGTGTCTTGATCTTCCCTGTCATCATAGTAACTTTTTACGGTTAGGTTCTTTTTTGTTGTTTGCTCATTTTCCTATTCTATTTGATTTGAAATTTTATTTTAATGTTGGGCTCTGTTCTCAGTGTGGGGGGGGGGCACTGTCTCAAGCTTCAGGCTTTTTCCCACTGCAGTTTTCAGAGCTAGTTCTTGGGGTTTGGACATTTACAATGCTTCTAAGATGCTCTGATCTAGAGACAGGTGTGGTCACTGCTCTTCTAGTCTTTGCTCTGGTCCTTTCTGGTCCAACTTCTGGTTGGTCCAGAAGTGCTCCTGATACCTTGGGATTGCAAGGGTTCCTGTTTCTGTTCTTGTTCCTGTTCCTCAGGGTCCCTGATCCCTTGGGACAAGAAGTAATATTACTCCTCAGGGATTCTAATCCCTCTTGACTAAAAGTGCTCCCACCTGCCCCTGAACTATATAGGCAGGTGGATATAGGCAATGGAGATGCCACACATAGTCCAATCTTGTGTCCACTGATAGCACACAGATGTCCTGTAGTCTCTTTCTGACTATTTGCCAGGGGCCCTTACTGGCTCTGGCTTGAAAGCTCCCAAAGTTACTGCTGCTTCTGTCACCACCACCCAGTCCCACCACTAGTGTTTCATCCACATGGGCTCTGGGTCAGCTTTCACCTCCTTGTCACAGATTTCTCTTTCTAAACTCCTATACTGTCTTGAGCTGGAAGAATGTCTCATCCTGGCCTTTTCTTTCCTCTGCCATTTCAGAAATTGATTTGAGGTATTCTTTTAAAGTTGTTTGGAAGGGAGTGTTGGAAGAGATCAGGGAAGCATTTTCTCTATGCCACCATCTTGGCTCTGCCCCCAGAAGTCCACCAAAACAACTTTAAAAGACTTAAGAACCCTTATAAACACAACGACCAAATCCAACTCCAGAGAACTCATGATAAAGCATGCAGCTCACCTTCTGAGAGAAAATCATAGACTGAGAAAGCAAAGTGAGACATATGGCAGGGGCGAAGGGGGGGGGTGGGAGAGAAGGGAGGGAGGTGAAAAGAGGGGAAATTGACCAATGCTAGAATTTATTTTGCTTAATAATACATATTAGTTACAAGTAGAATTTTTTTTTTATTTTTCACAAAGAAAACCAATGAAACTAAGGTTAGAATAGAAAGACACAAATAGGGGAAAATCTTTGCAGCAAGTTTCTCTGATAAAGGTATTGTTTCTAAGATTTTTGTTGCTGTTGAGTCGTTTCAGCTGTGTCCATCTCTCTGTGACCCCATTAGGGGTTTTCTTGGCAAATATACTTGGAGTACTTTGCCATTTTCTTCTCCAGTTCATCTTACTGATGAGGAACTGAGGCAAGCAGGATTAAGTGACTTGCCTAGGGTCACAGAGCTAGCATGTGTCTGAGGCCAGATTTAAACTAAGGAAGATGAGACTTCCTGACTCCACTGTACCACCTAGCTTCTCTGTTTTTAAGATACATTGAGAATAGATTCAAATTTATAAGAATAAAAGCAATTGCCCAATTTATAATCAATCAAAGAAAATGTATGGGCAGTTTTCAGAGGAAGAAGCCCAATATAACAATAGTCACATAAAAAAATGCTCCAAATCATTCATTACTAATTAAAGACATTCAAATGCAAACAACTTTGAAATTCCAGCTCACATCCATCAGAATGGTAAAGTTCATTTTAAAAAATTACAAATTCCGGATGGGCTATGGGAATACAAGTACATTAACGCATTGCTGGTGAACTGGTCCACCCATTCTGAAAAACAATTTCGAACCATGTCCAAAAAGTTATTAAACAATGCATACTTTTTGACCTAGCAAAATATCACTATGAGGTCTATATTGAAAAAAAAATCAGAAAAAGAAGAAAAGGACATATATATGTGTGTATATGTATTTGTGTATATATATGCATATGTGTGTATATATATATATTATATATATATACATGGCCTCTTTTTTAATGCCCATCATTTGGGGAATAGTTGAAAATGTTATTGTAAATAAATGTTGATGGCATACTATTATGCTATAAGAAATGAAGAAAGGGGTTGGTTTCAGAGAAACTTGGAAAGACACATGAACTGATGCAGAATGACATAAACAGAACTCGAAAAACTATTTGTATAATAACATCAGTATTGTAAAAACAAACAACTTTGAAAAGTTTAAGAACTCCTGTCAATACAATGACCCCACACAATTCCAGAGGACACATGATGAAAAGTAACAGTGCAGATTAAGACATTCATGTTTTTAGACATGGTAAATGCCAATAGTTGTTTTGTTTGACTATACATAATTGTCACAAGGTTATTGCTTTTCTCACTTTTTTTCTGTTCTGGGGGTTGGGAGAGAGGGAAAAAATGGTCATTCAATGAAATAGAAGGATTTCAAGCTATCATAAGGTGAAGAAAAGAATTAATCCAAAAATTTGATTTTCAATATCAAGACCCAAGAGAAGCATAAACAAGTAAAAAGGGAAAAGAAAATATAAGGGATTCAATAGAGTTAAACTGTTTACCACATGGGAAGATGATAACTTATAATTTTTAAAAACTATATCACTAATAGTACAGCTAGAAGGAATACACATAGATAAAAGGTACAGGTATAAGGTGAATTTGTGGGAATGATATAAAAAAATTAAAGGATGAGAAAGAGGAGCACACTGGGTACAGAAGGAAGGGAAAGATAGAATGGAGTAAATTATTTCACATGAAGAGGAATGAAAAACCTATTGTAGTGGCGGGGAATATAGGAGGGTGGGCGATGAGCATCACTTGAACCTTACTCTCATCAGTATTGGCTCAAAAATGGAATAACATGCACAGTCAGTTGTATATAGAAATCTATTTTACCCAACAAGGAAATAGGAGGGGAGGAGATTAAGTAAAGGGGGGAGGGGCTGACAGAAAGGAGAGCAGATCAGCAGAGGTAGTAGAAGCAAAACACTGGTGAGGAGGGAAAGAGTGAAAGGAGAGAGAGGACAAATAGGAGGAAGAATAGGATAGAGGGAAATATACAGGTGGTAATCATAACTGTGAATGTGAATGGGATGAACTCTCCCATACAATGGAAGTGGATAACAGAGTGGATTAATAGGTACACAAGACGAAGAAGTCAATGGACATAGTAACCTAGTGTTTGATAAACCTAGAGACCCCAGCTTTTAAGATAAGAACTCACTATTTGATTAAAAAAAAAAAGCTGCTGGGAAAACTGGAAAACAATAGGACACAAACTAGATATATACAAACTTCTAACACCATGTACCTACATAAGGGTCAAAATGGATTTAGACATAAAGGGTGACACCATAAGGAAATTAGAAGGGCAAGCAATAGTCTACTTTTCAGATGTTTAGCGAGGGTAAGAATTCATGACCAAACAAGAGATAGAGAGCATTGCAAAATGTAATGTAAAATAGATCATTTTTATTATATTAAATTAAAAAGTTTTTGTACAAACAAAATCAATACAACCAAGATTAGAAGGAAAGCAGAAAGCTGGGAAACAATCTTTACAGCAAATGTCTCTGATAAAGACCTCATTTCTCAAATATATAGAGAACTGAGTCAAATTTATAAGAACGTAAGTCATTCCCCAATTAATAAATGGTCAAAGGATATGAATAGGCAGTTTCCAGAGGAAGAAATCAAAGTTATCTATAAACATATAAAGAAGTGCCCTAAATCACTTTTGATTAGAGAAATACAAATTAAAACAACTCTAAGGTACACCTCACACCTATCAGATTGGCTTATATGACTAAAAAGGAAAATGATAAATGTTGGAGGGGATGTGGGAAAAACGGGATAGTGGTGTACTGTTAGTGGAGTTGTGAATTGACCCAGCCATTCTGGAGAGCAATTTGAAACTATGCCCAAAGGGCAACCAACCTTTGATTCAGCAATACCACTACTAGGTCTGTATCCCAAAGAGATCATTAAAAAGGTGGGAAAGGGTCTACATGTGCAAAAATATTCATAGTAGCCCTTTTCAGGATAGCAAAATATTAGAAATTGAGGGAATGCCCATCAAAAGGGAATGGCTGAACAAGTTGTGATATATGAATGTAATGGAATACTATTGTGCAATAAGAAATAATGAACAGGTAGATTTCAAAAAAACCTTGAAAGACTTGTATGAACTGATTCAAAGTGAAATGAGCAAAGCCAATAAAACATTGTACACGGTATCAGCAATGCCGTGCGATAATTAACTATAAATGACTCAGCTGTTCTCAGCAACACAAAGAACCAAGACAAGTACAAAGTACTCACGAAAGAAAATGCTATCCACAGCCAGATAAAGAACTGATGGACTTTGACTGCAGATCCAAGCATATTTTTTCACTTACTTTATTCTTTCTCTTTTTCCTTTTGATCTGTTTCTTCTTTCACAACTGTGACTAATACGGAAATATTTTTATATGATAGTACATGCATAAACTATATCAAACTGCCTACCATTTTCAGAAAAGGGAAGAGGAGGGAGGAAGGGAGGGAGAAAAATCTGGAACTCAAAATGTTGTAAAAATGAATGCTAAAAATTTTCTTGATTATGTAACAGGGGACAAATAAAATATTATCAAAAAAAATTATAAGAGCACCTCCCTCTCAACATTATTGTGAAGACCATGTGAGATAATATTTATAAAGCACTTATCATGGTGCCTGCAAGGCACAGAGTAAGCACTACATAAATGTTAATTATTTTATTGTATTATTGGCTTTGTATGTGATAACATCCTGCAACAACTGGTCATTGTAATAAATGTGTAGGGTGAAAATTTTTTTTCAATTATATAAGGGGTATTGACTAGGGAAGCCCCAAATCAACTTAAAAGGCACAGACTTTTGTCATAGCCATAGTCTTGCATTATGGCAACTTGCTGACAGAACACAAGGGACTTCTCTATAACTAAGTAACTCAGTTACTGAAGCTGCATCCAAGATCATGAGAACAAAAGAGCAACCCCCTCCTCTACGCAAGCTGTGAAATATTTCTAACCCCTTCCCCATTTTATTTTTCTCAATTTCCCTCCCTTTGACTTGTAAACCAGAGCTCAATAAGATAGTGGAAGGGAAATTTGGAGACCTCTCTCCTTTTCTCCCACATCCTCAAGTGAGGAGCAGAAAAGTATGACTTGAAGGAGAAGCCTGAGATGAGCTATATGTGTCTGCTGAAGTGACTAGAAGTTCCTGTCTTTCTAGTTCTTTTTCTGAGCATGTTAGAAACCAGTTACTGAAAATACAATGGTCCTGGCTCTTTTCCTCTCATAAATGCTAAAACAATACTACTATTGTATGTGCAATATGATCATATCAATTACAGTATAAATTTTGGGGGATAGGGATAAGAAGTGAGTAAGAAACAGCAGCTAAATGGAATAAAGCAAGTCAAAGCAGTAACCTGTAAAACAAACGATAAAAAACAGAAGCTTACTTTAGTCCTTTAAAGTAACTTCTTAAATACATTTTGATTCAAGCCTAGAGTAAATTTTCAAGGGCTGAATTAGTTGCATCAGAAGAGTTAAAATAGAAGTGATTATTGAAATGTGATTTTAACAAAATAGACTTATTAAATAGGAATGACATCAGAATACAGTAATTAATAAGACAAAAGACTTATCATTCTGGCTGAAAGTTGTACCCGAGATTAATGGATCCTCTATTTACTTTAAAAAGTAATTCATGCTAAGTAGTTTTTAGTTTTGCTCTTTATGAAAGGCTTTGAAAATAGAAGTCTTGAATTCAAATTCTGACTGTGACATGGCGTGAACTTAGGGAATACCAATTAATATCTCTGGGCCTGTTTCCTCATAAATAAAATGAGGATCAGATGGCTTAGTCTTTTCGAGCTAAAATCTATGATCTTGATTCTCTGAATTTTAACTGGATTATTGTCAAACTTGCTTCATTCTAATGACTGCACAACACAAAAATCCTAAATAAACCCTAAAAATGGATAGGAAAATAAGCAGAATTTCTAATTTTAGGTCCCTCAGAATCAATCATATGCTTGGTTAACATGGCAGACAGCTAACCAGTGAGTTACTTTAACAAAAACGTGGCTTGGTAAGAATTGTTGCTCTTTAAACTTTTCCACAACCCACAAAACACAATTACTTGATGGTACCTCAAAGGAAAAACAACTACTTTTTTTCTTTAAAAATAAGATTACCCACCAAAACCATAAAAATTTTTAGTTCTGCAACCACTTTTAGAAGATAAAGAATTAAGAGTTAAATAAACTATACCACTAAACAGAAAATACCCAAAGAACCTTGTAGCAACGGTACAGAACAATTGAAAATATAAGGACAATGCACTCTACAAATTACAATGTACTTCATTTGTCACTTAGTTTTAACAATGCTATGTTTTGGGAGCCAGAAATTAGATAGCACTTTTTCATTTTATGTATTATTGTACTTACCAAACAAACGCTGATGGAATAGGAATTTGCCAGCTATTAGTCCTATGAGAATTGCAAGTAGCCATAGAAGCACTTTCAAGAGCTTCCAGCCTCCTCCTCTAGGGTATTTATTCGTTACAAATGAAAAACAGTTTCCAACAACAATAACATTGGCCTCTGTTTGACTGTGAGAGACAGGATCCTCCGCAAATATTAAGAAGTTAAAGAAGATCACCAGATAAGCCACAATCAATCGAGACCATGGATGCTGGAAATAATACCGAAAGTCTTTACCCATCCTTCAGAATCTCAGTTCAGTAGTTTTCCTGTGTGAGGAAAGATACATATGGTTACAAAAAAACAAAAGGTCATTTTATCTCAAATTCTATCAAATCTAATATGAAGGTTGGACCAGATGATCTCTGAGGTTTCTTTCAGCTGTTAATCTATGGTCTTAACATCAAGAGAACTCAGTCTCCTCATCTAATACCTGCCTCTCCTTCATCATGAAAGCAGAACTAAAGGTCAAATAATAAAACTGCTTATGCTCCTTGTTCATAGAGAGTGAACACAGTTTTTATGTGTCATAAGCTAAAATTGAAAACACACCTGTGTTACTCTTCATTCCTACATTCTAAGACGTTCTTTTCTACATGCTACTCTCCAGAAGCTTCGAGCCTTCACTCTCTTACATGAAATTTGACTGATCCCAAAAAAGTCCCTATATTCAGTTATAAATAGTCATTTGGGGGTCAAGTAGCATAAAATAAGTCTTGAAATCAATTTTGTAATTCAAGATGTTAAAAAATTATTAAGACAAATTCAGTTGAGCAGTGAAAGATTACAAGTGTTAAATTGTTGTACCCTGAGCAAAACATGTCATAGTTGCTCTGTCCTAGTTATAGTTTTGCCTATATGCAAGGTAGAATGAGGTTGTCTAGAATTTTAAATTACACATTTATAAAAAAAATATTAAAAATATTAAAAATATCCTCCTTCTTTTCTTGTTCCCTAAATTGTTGCCTACCCTTACTCCCAGTCCTACTGCCTGGCTAGCTGCAAGCCTACATCCTTTGGTCAATAGCTATGGTTGCTAGATGGATCTGGTTATTCTATAATTTACTTTTTTGTTACATGAAAGACATAAAAGTTTTAATTAAATTTAATGAGACTATCCATGAAAATTTGTGTAATGCTGTTATTGCTTTCTAGTTTCAAGAAGTGATTATTCCAGTGACTTGCTTGAAATCACTTCATTCTGGCTCATTGTTCAAGCCGTTCCTTCCTGCATTTAAACAATATTTTGTAATTACAAAGTGCTGTCAGTATATTATGTCACCTGATCTTCTGAGATAGGTGTTACAAGTATTTTAACCATGAGGAAACTGATGACCAAAAGCTTGACTGACTTGCTCAGAGTAAAATAAGTGGCAAAGCTCAGACTCAAACCTAAGACTTCTATTTCTAGGTCCTCTTTCCAGTATAGCACACTGACTCTCCATGACTGTGGTTTAGGAGGAGTATTACAATATTCCTGCAGGACCTCATTTGTGACTTTGTCTTTGACTTAAGTGGCATAGTTGGTAGAATACCAGATTTGGAGTTGTTAAAACCAGAGTTTAAATCCTACCTCAGATATATACTAGCTCTATGATCCTGGACAAGACCCTTAACCTCTCTGAGTCTCAATTTTCTCATTTATAAAATGGGGCTTATGGTACCTACCTCACAGGGTTGTTTTCAGGATCAAACGAGATAATGGATATATGTAAAGTGTTTGATATATGTAAAGTGCTTTGCAAGCCTTTAAACACTATATAAATATTAGCTACTATCACTATTACATGTCACTGATGACTTAGGGGGAAAAGAAGTTTATATCCCAAATTTAATATCTGTATAACATGTGGAATCAGGTAAGCAAAAGATAACCTGGCCTTTGTAACATTATTTTCTAGTAAGGAATTACTCAACATGTGCCTAATGGAACAAAACCTCAATAAGGGTGTCTATCTTCACAATTTAAGTATAAATTGACTTATGTTAATTTACAAAGGGCTTTGGTATTCCTCTCCAAGTTGATTATTAACATATAATACCTTGCTAAGAACTTCATAAAAACATACAAGGTGGAACAAACAAGGGTAAAAAATTATGTTAGTCAGGAAGATATCACCCACCATGAGAACCCAGGAACCATGTTTGGCTATTCTGCTCAGTCAGAAAAGAACTAGTAAATCTGACAAGACGCTATACCAAGCCCCAAATAATCTGATTTTCAAAAAATATTTCACAGATATGCCAAAGTCTAAGTATTGACCTGTTTCCTTCATGTGTTAGTGATATTCTTGTCTTTTGGAAAAGTTTTTATCATATAACTAGTGCCAGTGAGAAGAGTTTATGGTGATACTTTCACTTGCTTCTCCTACTCACTACTACTCAGGGTCAAAGAGAGCTATGATCACGTGCTCACAAAGTTGCCTGCATATGATCTTGTTTTCTGGTCTCTCTTTCCTCCTCCTCTTTTCCCCCAGTACAGTATCAAATTAAGCAATAAGATTAATATTTGTCTCCTTAAAATATATCAATGATAATAATTCTGTGTTTATTGGGTAACAATATTCAGCCTGTTAGAATTACAATAATCTCAATGGTGTTTCATGTTCATTCTTGGCCAATGGAATAATTCTTGAGTCGCCACTATCAGTATCTCAACTACATCCATGATGGTTTTTCCACATACAGTCATTAGGATGTCATGCAAAGGAAAGAGTCCTGGATTTGGAGTCAGAGAACCTGAGTTTGAACACTGGCCCTGTCAAATACTGAATATCTTTGGGTAAGTCATTTACCTCCTCTGAGTCTCAGTTTCCTCATGTATAAAAGTGTGTAATAGATGTAGTACACTTTACAAGGTTGTTGTAAGCATCACAAGGTTGTTGTAAGCATCACATGAGATAATGTATATAAAGAACTTTGCAAGCCTTGAAATGCAATATAAATGAGTATCATTCAGTTTCAGTTTTTTGCTAGTGTATTTTCCAATTTTGTAGGTTTTAATAACTTACTTCCAGTGTAGTGAAATACTACAGAATAAGACTCTACAAGGCATGTATTATGTCATATTTCAAGCAATAATGAAATTATAAGTTCATTCATTTTGGTTACGAGTCTATTTCTATTGTTGATCTAATAACCTGCTTGGGGCAGCTAGGTGGTATAGCAAGTAGAACACCAAGCCTGAAAGTTGGGAAGACTGGAATTCAAATCCAGCCTCAGACACTTACTAGCTGTGTGATCCTGGACAAGTCACTTAACCCTGTTTGCCTCAGTTTCCTCATCTATAAAATGATCTGGAAAAGGAAATGGCAAACCACTTTAATATCTTTGCCAACAAAACCCCAAATAGGGTCACAAAGAGTCAGACGTGACTGAAACAACTGAACGACAGCAAAATAATCTGTTTTGCTAAAATACAATTCCCTTCCTTTATTAAAGTCATTAAGGTCTGTCAATACGTGAAAATGTGCCAGGACTGCTTTTGTACACTTCCCATTTCTCAGCAGGAAAGCAATATTTCACTTAAGAATCAAAGCTGGAAGGAAAACCACCTGAACAAACCCTTTCATGTTATAGATTTACCCAAGGTCACGTAAGTAATAAGAAGCAGAATCTGAATCTGAACCCTATGTTGTCCAAATCTCATACTCTCCACACATGCATAATGCTCTTTCTGAAAACCATTTTGTGGCATTTAAGGTTTTGTTTTGTTTTGTTTTTAAGGATTTGCTGAGATAATGTATGTAAAATTTTTTAACTATAAAGGACTAAACAAAATATGTAGTGTTAGAGACTGGACCTATGATATCATTCATCCCTAGGTAAGAAAACTCATTTTACTAACTCAGTTTTCTCTGCAACTTAGTCTTAGAGAGTTTCCTAGAGTATTGAAATAATTAATTGATTTGCCCAGAGTCACAGAAGCAATATGTATTGTAGGCAAGGCCTTGAACCCAGATTTTCCTGGCATTGAAGCTAGCTCTCAATCCATTATGCCATGTTGCCTTTCATATAGTATTACATGTTGTTATTATAAGAAGGGCAAAAAGGACCATAATTCATTACTTTGCTAACATTGTCTTTAGTCTTCATAGAGCATAACTAAACATAACCAAAAACATTTTCTAAGAACTTTCTGTGTACATAGCTCTATTCTAGAGAATGTAGAAGATATCACTCCAACTTTTCTATGATTCTCTTCATATCTGTGCTTCATATATTACATTAGAACATTAATGATTTGAAAGTTTTTATGACCAAATGTATGATATAATGGATACAGTTAAGCATTTTTAGTACCTTATGCATTTTTCCCTGAAGAGACTTTCACTAGTTTTCTATTGGTGTCATACATTTTGTGAAGCATACTGTCATATTTTTGATGGTCTCTAATTTGGCAAACAAAAGTCCTTAAACTGGAAAATCTTATACAATACTACTTAAAATTATTGCTATTGGTATACTATGAAAACAGACCTTCAAATTATTCCTAGTCTTAGAAAGATATAACCTTGTATTTATATGGTATCTTGCTTCTTAGTGTATTTTAAAACAAAACAAAAAAAAATATATATATATATATATATATATATAAAAATCCTCAAATGCCAACTAAAGGATGAGCAAAATCAAACCACAGTGTGATTTCATGCTCTAAGATCCCTTATCCCTTAAGATCACTCACTGCTACTGCGTGAAATTTTCACCATTAAAGAGTGTGACACAGTGAAAATCACATTCAAATAGGAATATATGCATAGATAGGATTATCAATCTAGGGCTGGAAAGGGCATCAGAGACAGTTAAATCCAACCCCTTACTTTTCAGTGACTCTCCAAAGGTCACTGACACAAGCAATATGCTTTAGAGGTAGAATCTAAACCAGGTCTTCTTATCATCTCAAAAAGAAGGCCTTTGTTTCCATTGGAATAAATGTATTCTTTGAGGAAAATGAGAAAGGATGGATAAAAGTTCTGATGAAAAGCAAGAGGTAAAGAGAGAAAGGCAGAGCCAGAACACCTGGGTTATATACCTATACTCTGTATCTATACCTATATTCTGTACTATACCTATATTGTGTATTCTGTACTGTATTCTATGATTTGAGGCTCATCACATAACACCTCTGGGCCTCAAATTCTACAGATGCAAAATAAGAGGGATGATCTATAAGTTACATTCCAGGTATATCTCTATGATGCTATGACAAGTTAATGGCAAATCCTTCGAGGTATCTGGGAGAAGAATCAGGGAAAGCACCTACATGAAGGTGCCAGGATACAAAAGACATGAAGCAAACTATATGATACTCAGGCAACCAGTTTTGGTGTGGAAATAGATTTTGAAACAGGAGTAGAATGCAGAAGAAAGAAAAGAAAATATTTTGTTTAAGATAGGTTGATGATGAAGGTTGGTTTAAGCATATCATTCTCATCCTACTGTTGAGGAAACAGACATGATTGTCTATGTTCCGTCTAGCATTCTTAAATACTGAGTTTTAACAAAGATTAAATAATGGCACAACAGAATTCTACCTTAGTTTTAGCCTACTTTGAAAAGCTGCACAGCCTTTAAAATTAATCAATGAAAGGCAAATATAAGCAGTTTTCAACAAATACTACAATTCTATATCATTTACAGAATGATATCTGTGATTCCTATCTTTAGTATTTCCCTGATCATTGATTCACAGCCTAAATGTTGTTTTCTTTGTTTACACTGTCTTTACAAGACCACAAAACAAACCAGTACTGAAGGTCCTCCAAACAGCATTATTAATAAATCTTTTGTAGTTATATAAAAATATTTATGAATACTTTCATAGGGCCTGAAACAGGGAAATAGACATCATTTTAAAAGTGTTTACAGCTTTCCCTGAGTGATTTTTTTAAATGCTATCAAGAAACTTTATAGAAGCAGATAGTATTGAACACAGAAAGATCTGGTTTCAAATTCAAATGAGATTCACTAGCTATGTGACCAATGAAAAGTAGGTTAATCTTTTTTTAATCTCAGTTTTCTCATTTATCAAATATATACTAAGATTGCCAAAGAAAATGACAGTGTAAGAGTAAAACAAGGTTTCCTGAAACTAGCTTTTATCTGACATTAAAAACTTTAGAAAACTGACAATTTAAAGTGAAGCAAACAAATCTTAGTTTCTGATTATATAGACTGGCTGTGCAGAAATGTCTTTATAAATTGATGGAGCTGTGATTTCACCCCTATTAATTGATGGAGCTATGGAAACTCTTTCCAAGGATGTAAATTGAAATTCCCCATTGCATACTTATCCTCTGGGATTCTTATCCAAATCTTTCTATAAATCCTCCAAAAAAGATTCACTCAATGTTCTGGAGGTTTTCTTCTGGTTCTTTTAATATCTTTATGATACCAATGAACCATGCCGGCTGACATTAATGAATGTCCAGGTCAAGCCATTTTCCAGTCATACTTATCCTTTGTCTTTTACGGTACTTTTCAGGTGCAAGTCAGCATTGTTAACCTGCTGCAGCCTGTTTATGAACACCATGGATCTTCCACTGTGCTCAGGGTTACTCAAAATTTTAGTTTTGCTAAAATCAGTGATGTTCCATATTGTGAAAAAACAGCCATTAGAGCTAAAACATCAAACTTTATAATTAGATGCTATTAAATAAAGGGGAAGAAGTTAAAATGAAATAAATATCACTGTGACAAAAAGTCAGTATTTGAGAATAAAAATTAGTTCCCAGAAAAACTGATTATTTATATTAAAAAATGGCATTGACAGGATTTGTTACAAAAAGAACTTCCTAAAACATCTTATAGCTTCCATAGTCCTTTCCAGGCTTGGGATAACACAATGAGATTCACTTTTCGTTGGTATTTTTAACTAACAAAGATGCCTATTAAATAATCTTAATATTTATGTGTTTTCAAACCTAAATACAGACAGACCCTGAAGTTATTTTGCACAGTCATTAAAATACAATTGCACAAGCTAAGCTCATTGTGTTTTTTTAAAAATAGATATAAAAATGGTTTTAGATGAATCACAATGAAGTTAAGGAGCCCCTTAAGTTTCAGGTTTACATACCAGAAGAAAATTAAGAAGGATTGTCAAGAGACATATGTGAATCTGCTAATTTTAATTAACAAGAAATGAAGAGCTCTTTGCTTAGCTCAAGTTGTTTGTTTGTTTGTTTGTTTTTCTTTGCTTGGCTCAATTTTTCAGCAAAGCTCAAGGTCTTTCAAACACACTAAGTTTTCGTAAGTAGAGGCAACAGCCCATATATGGGTGTAAGCTCCTCTACCAAATACATACCAAAAGGTTTTCGGAGACCCTACCTTGATTCATCACACTACAGAACTGTGAAGAAAAAGAATCTGAATTTGTTGATTAAGGTTATGCAGTTACATCCACATTCACCAGAAGGAGAAAGAGAAAGACTGAGAGACAGAGAGACACAGACAAATCACACTGCAGTTTGACAACAGTTGAATATAAGAAGCTAGCCCAGCTTGCCTTATGATAAGACTGGACAGGAGGGGGCAGGGGAGACTGTACTTACCCAATTCCGGTTGTGTGTGTGTGTGTGTGTGTGTGTGTGTGTGTGTGTGTGTGTGTGCGCGCGCGCGCGCGCGCGTAAGAGACAGAGAGAGAGAGAGAGTGTGTGAGTGTGTGTGTGTGTGTGTGTGTGTGTGTAAGAGACAAAGAGACAGAAACAGAGAGAAAGAGACTGAAAAACTAAAAATAAACAAATCGCAATTCTTCCAGGGGATGGGTGGTCTACCTTGCTAGCCAGAAGACAAGAGAGGAGGCTCTGGAGGATTTTACTGCTGCTGCAGCAGCGGTAGCAGCTGCCACCAGGTCATAGAGCTATTAATATCTGCTTGGCCCACCCACCGCCTCCTCCATCTACGTCCTTCTTTCTAGCCCCAGGCCTTGTACGGTATAACGGCCAACCTTAAAAATCTCTCTCTCTCCCTCGGCGATCTTGGCACGGCTTGCTTTCCGGTAAAGGGGAAGAAGGGGGAAGGCTATGACAAGGGCAACCGCTGCTGCTTGGGTGACCTAGGCTCCCTCCAATTCTGCCCACTGCATCGCCAGCTGAAAACATGTCTCTTCCTCCTCTCCGCTCCCCCCCCTCCGCTTCCACGCCCCCGCCCTGCACGCTCCAGTCACCCTCCCTTCTTCCCGGTGGAGGCGCAGCCGGGACACTTCCAACCCGTCGGGAAACCACTACAGCTGCGGAGCCCGCCGGTCTCCTCTCCTCCAAGGGCTGCCTCTGCAGAACTAAACAGATAAAGAGGCGACTGAAGGATTTAGGAAGCTAGAAGAGAGGTATCTTGGCAAATGCTTTCAGCAGTAACCTTAACTTTTAGTAGAAATAGTTAAAAATATTGCCAGCTCCATCTTCACGGGTGAATCTTGTCCCCAGGGCTTGGCAGGTAGGCTAATAGTCCACCAGGTCAGCAGAAGCACAAAGAGGCACCAGCTTTTAAACAGCCTCTAGTCAAAATGGATCTTCCCCTAATTATTTAAAGGCAAAAAGGCACAGATTATGATTTGATGGGGTTTGGGTTGGTGTTAGTGTCAGATTTGGTAGTCACTGTGGAGATTAGGCAAAGAAGAGGATTTGTTTTAAAGTATTTTTACTTTTCTTCTCATCCAGAGTCTGACAAGGCCTGATTGCGCCCTTCATCTCAACTTTCCCTTCCAAAAAGAATCTTTTTAAGACCATTGTCTCCAGCTTAGAGCTCTTTCTATAGGATATAAGCACTCCTGCTACAATTTCCTTTATTTTCTCATCAGTCTAAGGCAAGTTTAACATACTTCCTCCCAAAAAAAATTCGACTTTAGGCTGTGTTCTTACACATACATTTTATACATTCTTTAATGAGTACAGAATATATCTTAGCAGACTTGGTAAATAGCTTTTTGGGGGCATGGGGTTTCCTTTCTTTTTCTTCCAACTCCTGTAGGTGCACACATATAATATTCAGCTACTTTTAAAGTTACCAATACCCATTATCCATATGTAATATGAATTGTACAAAGCAATGAAATTTATTCTCTGTCTACCTCCTTTATGCTCTGTGGGAACTGGGGAGTAGAGGTGAAAAGCTTTCGAGAACGTATGACTCATTATTGAGAGGCTCCCAGTTGACTAATGAACCAAAAGATCTGATGACTCAAAGTACCATTGAAAAGAGTAGACAGCTTCTGTCCCCAGCCTGCTGGTGTTTGCAGCTATCTGACATATTTCTTCATCATGCTTATAATTCAGCTTTAGATACTCAATACCTTACCAACTCCTTCAGCCTCCTCTCCCCTCTGACTGGAGGGCTAGAAAGTGGAGCACTAAACTCCTCCCAAAGTTTTCCTTTATAAAGGGCAGGGATATGGACTTTGGAGCTAACTTTCCTTTTAGAGGTTGTCTTTCCTTCACCACCCCCATTAGATTGTAAGCTACTTGTCTTTCTTATTTGTATACCCAGTACTTAGCACAGCACCTGGAACGTGTTTTTGTGGTAATTCAGTCATGTCCCTTCGTGACTCCATTTGAGGTTTTCTTGGCAAAAATACTGAAGTAGTTTGCCATTTCTTTCTCCAGGTCATTTTACAGATGAGGAAACTGAGGTAAACAGGGTTAAGTGACTTGCCCAAGGTCACACTGCTAGTAAATGTCTGAGGCCAGGTTTGAACTCAGGAAGTTGAGTCTTCCTGATTCCACACCCAGTGCTCTATCTCCTGTGCCACTTATTGCCCCTTTCCTCACATAACATATTTCATCTCCCATTTCTCTACCTTTGCACTGGCTGTCCCACATGCCAGGGTCATTCACTGCATCCCAGGCCATTGCCAGTTATCTTGACTTTTGTCCTGCCACTGGACTTCAATGACTCTGGAAGAGAGAGTAAAGCAGATGGCTTTGTGCAACTCTGCCTCACTTAAATCCAAGTCAAGACATTACCTGTAATGTCATTGGTCCTCTTCAAAAATGAAAGACAAACAACATCTTGTCCAATTTCTTATCTATATTACATATGTGACCAGCAGTAAGTTTCCAGGCCTTTGAGTTGCCCATAATTTCAAGTTCCAGTTAGAGAATAAAGCAGGAATAGAAGAAATGATACCCAAAATGATTCCCAGCATTATCCCTTATACTCTTTTACAGCTGAGTATGAACAAAGTAATCCCCTTGTAGAACCATTTTTACAGTCTCTGCTAAAAACTGCTCAGCCTGAGGCCGCCCAAGTTTTGTTACACTGGTCTCCAGACATTGTTCTGATGCATGCTGCTCCGCTGTAATCCTGACTATGTCTAACTCCTTGGAAATCCTTAGCTATTTTCTCAGGGAAAAACAGGTGATGACATATTTCCTTAGCTTAAATCCTAAACTCCAACTCTTTTAGGAAAAGGGAGAAATGTTTGCAAGGGAACCAACAAAAGGCCGTGTTTCCTCAGAGGGTTGGATGATGCAGTTTGGGATTACTGGGAACCCCAAAATTTCATGGTACAGGGCAGCGTCCACCTTGAATGAATTCATGCACTCAAACCATCTTCTAGTCAAGTAGCAAAGTTTATTGTAACACCACTAGAAGTGGGCAGGGTTCCTGGTGAACCTGCAACTTAATGGGGATGAGAATGATGCTTATATACAAAAGGACAATGAAAGGAACTGGGTGGGATTAAGGAGTGGTAAAGTATTCTGGGGTGGGCCAGGTGCAACCATGAAAGGAATATCTAGTAGGCTAAATAGGTGATCTAGGTGGGATTAAGGAGAGGTCGGTATAAACAAATAGTCTAGGGTGGGCCAAGTGAGACAGTGAAAAGAATGTCAAGTAAACTAAACTTATGGGAAATTTTGGGGACTGGGCTGCAAGACATAGTCTTTTCTTTTGGGGGTCTAGGTCTTATCACTTCGTCATGGCCACAGAAGGATCTCATCTCCACTGCAGGAAATTCTCAGCCCCAAGTGTCAAGATCTTTAGAACAGAGAGCAAGGTTATTCTGGCTAATGCCCTTAGGCCTTATCTTTTCTTTAGACTCTTTCTAGTCTAGATTTTAGAAGGCATCCCATATATTTCCCAAATTTTAGTCTCTGGAGGCTATCCTATAAACTCGGTAATGATTAATCACCTAATAATTACCCAAAAGCTTTGGGATTCAAGGTTCCCCACAGTTCAATGTCTAAGTTTCTTCTTGTCTCTCACTTAGATGAGAAGGCAGAGAGATAAACACACAGAGACAAAGCCAAGCACAAGAAAAAGACATTGTTTCCTTCATTAGATGGTGAAGGTTCCTTGAATGCAGGGGATATCTTTTGCCCCTTTTTGTATCCCCAGTGCTTAGCACAAAGCCTAGAAAATAGTAGGTGCTTAACAAATGTTTATTGACTGATGGGCTGACTTAGTCTCAGCTACCAACTCAGTGATATTCATGGACCTTTCATATGCAGATGAAGCTGATCAAATATTAAAAGAGGCTTTCCCTCATCTCTTAAATCTTAATTTATGAAGACAAAAGCCATTCATTCATTTAAAAACTCAGTAAGATAACCACACTGTTCTGTGCTAGATAATGTAAGAGATATAAAGAAGAATAAAATGCTGTCCCTTCCCTCAGTGAGCTTATAATTTTGTATATGGCAAGCACATAGCCATAACCATAAAAAAAGGCAAAAAATGAGAAACACTATGAGAAATATGAAGTGTTATGGGTATTAAGAGGAGGGAGAAATCATAAAGTTGGATTTCAAGGAGGGCTTTACAAAAAGAAATGGCACTTGAGCCAGGTGGGCCTCAAAGGAGGAGAATGGACAAAGGAAGGAATTTCAGAGTAAACAGCAAGAACAATGATGATCAATCAGGAAAATCCTTGAGATACACTCAAGAAATGTTGAGATGATCTGATATGGCTAGAGCATAATAGTGATATAGAAGAGGATAAGGCTAGAAAGGTAGATTGAGATCAGATTAAAAAGAACCTTTAATAACAACCTTTAGGTTGCATTGGTGACAAATACCTAGTGCCCCACCATACACTTCTCAACACTTACCTTCCTCCAAAGTACTCCCCATTCTTACCACAAGATTCATTATAAATCACTGAACAGTCTCTAGATTGGAGCCATGATGGCAGAGAAAAGGCAGGGACTCACCTACCAAATTCCCCTCCAAACAACTTTAACTAACACCTCAAAATGAATTCTGGAACTGCACAACCCACAAAAGAACAGGATAAAACCATTTTTCAGCCCAAGACAATTTAGAAGGTTGGCAGGAAAGATCTGTTCCACTGGAATGAGAGTGAAATGCGATCCATCTTCAGGCAACACCATGCCAAGCTAGCAGAGGTCACAGGGGCAATGGAATTGGCAACAGCAGCTTCCAAAGCTCTCAACCCACAGACTGTCAAACAACTGGTCAGAAGGAGCTCACAGGGGTCCCTTTGCCGGCACTGGGTGCAGAACTGTTGTAATTCCTGTACTCAGATCTGGGTGACAATCTTCGGTGGCAGTCCCAGAGTGAAGAGCAGTACATACTAGAACATGAAGCCACAAGAGAACAGGGACCCTGTTCATGATTTCAGAGCAGAAGAGAGTGCCTGTGGTCACTCACAGACCAGAGCATAGGCCAGGAGAGTATTAAACACACCTTTTCTTAAATCATACCACCTTGGAAGAACTAAAAAGTTACACACCCCCAGAACTTACTCTGAAAACAGCTGCACAATATAAGCTGAACCTTGGGACAGTGACTCTCCATCCGAGGAGCAAAGCCCAACTTTAATATAAAGCTAAAAGTTAAGAAATGAATCTGAAAAATGAGCAAAAACAACAAAAAACACCTGACCATATAAAGTTACTATGATGATAGTGAATACCCAAACACTAACCCAGAAGAAGACAACAAAGTCAAAACTGCTATATCCAAAGCCTCAAGGAAGAATGTGAATTGGTGTTAGGCCCAAAAAGAATTCCTGGAAGAACTCAAAAAGGAGTGTAAAAATCAAAGAGAAGTTGAAGAAAAATTAGGAAAAGAAATTACTACGATGCAAGAAAATCATGAAAAAAGATTCAACAGCTTGGTAAAGGAAGCATAAAAAATACTGAGG